GACCAAGTATTGAGTGCATAACTGAACATGATTATTTGAAGGTTGGCGTTTTTTGTATTAAAAACACTTGTCTTTCATTGGTGGGATGAAATATGCTAATTTTTTGGGACAGGCATTTTGGGTTTTCATGAGCTGTGTGCCATAATCATCAGTATTAAAACAATTAAAGACCTGAAATATTTCAGTTGGTGTGCAAATGAATCTGAAATATATGAAAGTTTCATTTTTATCATTACATTATGGAAAATAATGACCTTTATCACAATATGCTAATTTTTTCAGAAGGACCTGTACATCAAATACAAGGCTTTATCATTCAATAAGTCCCTTACTTTATACAGTACTGTGGTGGATTTAGATATTTTAGTTTTTACAGAATTTATGTGCTGTTTCCATGACAGTTTATCATCAATAATTACACCCAAAAATTTCACCTCACCTACTCTGCATATCTCAACACCATCAACTCTAAAAGGAACATCGACAGTTATCTTTTTTTTTTACTAAATATCATATAATTAGTTTTATCAAGGTTCAATGATAACTTGTTTAATTTAAACCAATTTTGTATTTTGACAAACTCCATCTTCATCAACTCAAACATCAGTTCCAAGTCTTTACCCAAATAAAAGAAAGTGGTATCATCAGCAAAGAGAATACATTTAAGGATACTGGACACCTCCGTCAAATCATTTATATACAAAATAAACAACTTAGGTCCAAGTACAGAGCCTTGTGACACTCCACATGAAATACTGCTTAGGTTAGATCTTACATCGTCTATTTGTACAAACTGTTTTCTGTCTTTTAAATAACTACATATCCACTGCAAAGCTGGTCCTCTAATACCATATTTTTTAAATTTATTAATCAGAATGGTGTGGTCAATTGTGTCAAATGCTTTTTTTAAATCGACAAATATACTTATACAATGTTGTTTTTGATCTATAGCTGTAGTAACTTGTTCCATCAATTCCATAAGAGCCATGGATGTTGAATTTTTTGATCTGAACCCATACTGACTATTACTTAAAATATTATTTTTATCAAGAAATAGGTCAAATCTGGTCACAAATAATTTTTCTAGAATTTTTGAGAATTGTGGCAACAAAGATATAGGTCTGTAGTTGTTAAATACACATTTGTCACCATGTTTAAAAAGAGGAACTACCTTAGCTATTTTCATTCTACACGTCAAACTTGTTAGCGCACTTGAAACGACATCATCCTAATGTGAACATATCTTCTGCAAGGATGAAAAGCAGTTTGGTGCAAAGACCGATAACAGCAGCATTTAAACAAACTTTATCAGGTATATCAGATCCGAAGCAATGACAAAAGCTATACGAGTTTTTATAGCTATGGATCTACATCTGTATTCTGTTGTTGAATGCACCGGCTTTAAGCATATGATTAAAGTTCTTGAGCCCCGCTACGACATTCCATCACGTCAACACTTCAGCCAAAAAGTTGTACCAGCACTTTATGAAAAAGCTAAAACTGGTCGTCAACAAGCCCTGGACCCCAGATTTAAAGCCCTGCCACACATCGATGATGATGAGCTAGAGAGGATATTCATCCACATCATAACAGAAATGGTGACTGTGCAAGAAGAGGTATTGTTATTGTATTATTATGATCTAATTAATTTTTTTAATTTAAAATTATAATCTTGTTAACTCCATTTATTTTACCTCTTTGTGTTTTATGCAGTCTGAGGATGTCACCGAGATAGCAACTGAGTCTTCT